AAAATTTTTGAATCTTCTTGAGATATTTAACTTAGCTCAACATGTGGACCAACCTACATATCAAAATAAACAAATTCTTGATCTTGTAATAACTAAGGTTAGTGACACCATACTCTCTAATGTAATCGTTTCTGACCCTGCCATTTCTGAACATTGTGCTGTCTTTGGCACTCTTCAAATTAAAAAACCTTCTTTTGAGAAAATTATTTCTAAATTCCGAAATGTTAAGCGTGGTGTCAACTTAAATAATCTTTCTATTCCACCACGCCTGCCTTTGCATCCTTCCATAGAGAAAACTGCAAAAATATGCCATTTAAATGCCAGGTCAGTGTGTAATAAACCTACAGTTATAAATGATTTTACAGTTGAAAACAGTATTGACATCTTATGTTTAACTGAAACCTGGTTAAAAAGTAATTCACAAGAAGTTATAAATGAGTTGACACCTAAAGGATATATTTTCCACCATATCTCTACAAAAACAAGAGGTGGTGGCGTTGGAATTCTTTTTAAAAAATCATTAAAAGCTGAGAAAATACGTTTTGACAACTTCAAATCTTTTGAAGCTATGGGCATGAAAATATCATCTTCTCAAATTTCACTGTTTGTTATTTACAGACCTCCCCCTTCTAAACGTAATAAATTTTCTGATGCTATGTTTTTGGAAGAATTTTCCATTTTTCTTGAACAATTTTCTGCTAGATCAGGCTCTTTTCTTTTGATGGGGGATTTCAACTTTCATGTTGATGACTCTTCTAATTCCTCTGCAATTAAATTTCTGAATTTATTAGAGCTTTTTAATTTGACTCAACATGTTAAAGAGCCAACATATCAGGGCAAAAATACGCTTGACCTTGTAATTACAAGGACTGGGGAAGATGTTATTTGTAATATTTCCGTTTCTGATCCTTCAATTTCTTTTCACTCGGCCGTTTTCGGTCATCTTAAAATCAAAAAACCTCCTTTCCAAAAAATTGTGACAAAAAGCCGTAACATGAAGGCAATAAATTCTGATGCTATTATTCATGACATCTCAAATTCTTCTCTGGTCATATGTCCTAATGATGATCTACATAGCTTACTTAACCAGTATGATTCTACACTCACTTCTGTCCTAAATTCTCATGCTCCATCTAAAAACCGTATAGTTTCTCTGCGTCCTCACAATCCCTGGTATACATCAGAAATAAGGACTGAAAAAGCTAAGCGTAGGAAACTTGAGAAAAGATGGCGTCTCTCTCACTTGACTGTTGATAGAGAATTACATGTTGAACAATGTAAGATTGTCAAAAATCTTTTAAAATCTTCTAAAAATGGCTACTACTCAAAGATTATCCAGGAGCATCAG